AGCTCCTGGGAGACTGCCGAAAATAGCGATTTCGCTAGGGACATCCTCAAACAATGAAAACATGCAACCGCATCGTTTTGCAAATTGCTGTTCTAACATCGTTTTGACATTGCTTCTGAAAAAGGCTTCCAGGCGGCCCAAGGCCGCCATCTAAAAATTACGATGTCGCTAGGGACTTCCTCAAAAAAGAGATGTGTGTGGCATCGCACTGCCATCATTTTTCAAAAAAGACCGAGACGGCCCTAAACGAGCCCCAAACAAGGTCCAATATGACCCCAAGAGTGCCCTCGAGATTCCTCCGACTTAGCATTTCGCTCGAGACATCCTCAGCAAAATGAATTGTTCGCAACACCGTCTTTCACACAAACAAGTATTTCGCCTGAGACATCCACCAGAAAATGAAAACCGCGAATTAAAAAACGTATGGACATGGGGATATCGCATGAGACATCCTCGGCAAAATGAAATGCTGAAAAGGCTGATTTAAACTCATGCGTATTAAAACTGCGCCTTTCGCCTGAGACATCTTCAGAAACTGGGCAGGCTCACGGCAGCCCAACACGCAGAAGCACGGCAGAACGCGCGAGAGCACGGCAGAACGCAGAGGAGCACGGCGGAATACAGAGGAGCACAAGGAGCACGGTAAAACACACAGAACACACGAGCACAGCAGAACACACAGGAGCACGGCAGAACACGCAGGAGCACGGCAAGACAAAAAGGAGCACAACAAAACACGCGGAACATCACACAAGAGCACACGGAACACACGGGAGCACGGCAGAACACACAAAGGAGCACGGCAGAACACACAGGAGCACGGCAGAACACGCAGGAGCACGGCAGAACCCACAGAACATTCGGGAGCACGGCAGAACACACAGGAGCGCGGCAGAACACATAGGAGCACGGCAGAGCACAGAAGAGCATGGGGAGCACGGCAGAACGCGCAGAATACACAGGAGCAAGGTAGAACACACATGATCACGGCAGAACACGCAGGAGCACGGCAGAATCTAAAGAACATTCGCGAACACGGCAGAACACACAAGAGCACGGCAGAACACGCAGGAGCACGGAAGAGCACAGAAAAGCATGAGGACCACTGCAAACAACGCATAATACACAGGAGCACGGCATAACATGCAGAAGCACGGAAACACGGCACGGTGATACCACGCTGGAGCATGGCAGAACCCCGCAGATCATGCAGAATACATGTGAGCACGGCAGAATACACACAGAATACATGTGAGCACGGCAGAATACAGGTGATCACGGCAGAACGCGCATAATACACAGGAGCACGGCAGAACGCACAGGAGCAAGGCAAAACACACAAGAGCACACCAGAACACGCAGGAGCATGGCAGAACACGCGGAAGAACACGCAGGAGCACAGCATAGCGCACAAGAGCATTGCTGAGCACGCAGGAGCACGAGGAGCACGGCAGACCACGCATATACACAGGAGCACCTCAGAACACACAGGAGCACGGCGGAACCCCGCAAGTGCACAGGAGCACGGCAGAACACATAAGAGCACGAGGAGCACGGCAGAACGCAATGAATACACATGAGCACGGCAGAACACGCAGTAGCACAGCAGAACACACAGGAGCACGGCAGAACACAAAGCAGATTCGCGAACACGGCAGAACACACAATAGCACGGCAGAACACGCAGGAACACGGAAGAACGCACATTATACAGGAGTTCAGCAGACCAATCAGGAACACGGCAGACCACGCATTAGCATGGCAGGACATGCAGGAGCATGGCAAATATCGCATAAACCCAAGACACAAAAAGACGCTTCCCGTTCTTGTCTGGTCAGGTTCCTCACAATAGCGATCTCGCATGAGACATCCGCATTAAACTGAGATATTCGCGACATCGCGCTTAACAAACACAAGCGTTTCGATTGAGACAGCCTCGAACACCTGGTCGCCGCAAAATTCATTAATCTGTGAAAATTGGTGCTTCGCCTGAGATATCCTAGCCACGATGACATGTCCATGGAGGTGTATTACTACCTCGTATGTTGAAAACTATGTTTTCGCTACGGACAAATTCAGAACATGATCGGTAGCACGGCGGACCAGAAAAAAGAGCACGGCAGAAAAACATGCATCTCGCTGGAGACATCCTCAACAAAAAGAGATGTTCTCAACATCGGCTTGGCATCTTTCTTGAAGTGCTTCAAGTTGAAGAAATCAAAGCCCACAAAGGTCCAAATATGGCTCCAAAAGCGCCCTGGAGACTGCCAGAAATGATGATTTTGCGAGGGACATCCTCAGACAAAATGAGAGCATACAACAACATTGGTTTGAAAACTGTTTTTTTAACATCGTCTTGTAATCGATCCTGAAAAAGGCTTCCAGACGGCCCAAGCCAGCCTTCTAGAAATTGCGCTTTCGCTAGGGACAGGCTGAAAAAAATGTGTGTGACATGGCACTGGCATCATTTTTTAAGGCGTCAAGACGGCCCCGAACGAGCCCCAAACGAGGCCCAGTATGACTCCAAGAGCGCCCTCGAGATTCCTCATCGCTCCAAACATCCTCACAAAACTGACTTGTTAGCAACACCGTCTTTTATACAAACAAACGTTTCGCTCGAGACATCCACCGGAAAATAACAGTCGCGAGTTTAACAAACCTGTGTAAATATGGCTATCGCCTGAAACATCCTCGAGCAAATGAGATGCTGAAAAGGTCGACTTGAGACCATGCATGTTAGAATTCAGCTTTTCGCCTGAGACATCTTCAGAAAATGGACGGGATCACGGCAGTCCAACAAACAGGAGCACGGCAGAACGCACGGGAGCACGGCAGAACACACAGGAGCACGGCAGAACACACTGTTTTTTTCATCTGCAGGGCGAGAGCGAGCCTCTTCCGCTAAAATCTCCGCGGGACGCGCACACCTTTAATTGGCAGAGACGGCAGAAAACACAGGAGCACGGCAGAACCCAAAGAACACTGAGGGGCATGGCAGAACACACAGGAGCACGGCAGGACACACAGGAGCACGGCATAGCACAGAAGAGCATGAGGACAACGGCCGAACCCATAGAACACACAGGAGCCCAGCAGGACGAACAGAAGCACGGCAGAACACGCAGGAACACGGCAGGAAAAACAGGAACATGTTTGCCTTGAAGGCCCCGTCTTTCACTTTTGAGAAACAAGAGCACGGCAGAACACAAAGGAGCACGAAAAGCCCGGCAGAACACGCAGAATCCACAGGAGCACCTCATATCCACAAGAACACCTCATAACACACGGGAGCACGGCAGAACACACAAGAGCACGGCAGAACACGCAGGAACACGGCATATTGCACAGAACACGCAGGAGCACGTCAGAACACGCAGCAGAACAGCAGAACACACACGAGCATGGCAGAGCACATATGAACACGCAGCACCATGGCAGAACACGCAGGAGCACTGAAGAACAAACAGGAACACGGCAGAACATGCAGAAGCACGGCACGACACACAGGAGCACCACATAAAAAGAACACACGGAAGCACGGCTGAACACATAGGAGCACAATACAACACACATGAACACGGCAGAACAACAAAGGAGCACAGCAGAGCACGGCAGAACACACAAGAGCACAGCAGAACACGCGCAACACGGCAGAACACGCAGAACACCCAGGAGCACGGCGAAATACAAAGGAACACGGCAGAACACATAGGAGCACAGCAAAATACACAGAACTCAGGAACACGGCAGAACACACAGAACCATGGAAGAACTCGAAGGAGCAAGGCACACGAACAGGTCAGAACACACAAGAGCATTGCTGAACACACACACACACACACACACGCACGATGAGCACGGCAGAACACGCAGAATACACATGAGCGCCTCAGAAGACACAGGAGCACGGCGGAACCCCGCAGGTGCACAGGAGCACGGCAGAACACATAGGAGCACGAGGAGCACGGCAGAACGCACTGAATGCACATGAGCACGGCAGAACACGCAGTAGCACCGCAGCACACAGAGGAGCACGGCAGAACGCGCAGGAACACGGCAGAGCACGCAGAATAACGGCATAACACGCAGAACACGCAGGAACACGGCAGAACACACAGGAGCACGGTAGATATCTCACAGGCCCAAGACACAACAGGACGCTTCCCGTTCCTGTCCGGTCAGGTTTCACTTCCCCCGGGGCCCCGACGGGCCACCCACGCGCCGAGGCACCCCTCCAGGGGCAGGAGGAGGAGGAGGACGAGGATGTGGAGAGGAGGAGGAGGACGAGGAGGAGGACGAAGAGAAGGAGGACGAGGAGGAGGAGGAGGACGAGGAGGAGAAGTCGAGAGGACGAACATGAGGACGAGGAGGATCGAGGAACTGACGTCCCCAAAACTCGATTCCTGAGACTGCGGCCGCCCGATCGCATCGGGGCGACCGGCCGTGGCGGCGAGGGGCCCCGCCGAAGGCCAACCATATCGTTGACTCGAACGTTGCCCCTTAGGGCGGCTTCGGGCCGCAGCCCCGGAACCCCTTCGGCAAGGCGCGGCTGCAGAGAGGCATCCCGAGGCTGGAGCGCCGCCGAGAGCTCACGAGAACACCTGAGGGCCTCGAACCGACGAGGAGCGGCTCTTGCTTCGCTCGCCCTCCTCTGACCCGTAACAGCTCGCCGCCCGCAGACCCGCCGCCTTAGCTGCCTCAATTGATGTTGAAAATGCTGGTAGCATGTTTCGTTCCGTTTTCGGCTTGTCGGTGTTCGGCCAACCCAAACGGCAAAAAACAACAACCCAACGCTAACAACAAAACTGCAGTACAAAACGGAAACGAACCGAAAACGGTGCAAACGAGAATCCCCACAAAAGGTTGGGGAAGAACGAACCCCGACACGGAAAAATCCTCGATCTCGAAAACAAGGAAAACACATTTTGATCCCCCCCTCGGCAAAGCCGCTCGGTGTTCCGTTGGCGGGCGCGCCGCGGGACGCCGGGGGGTGGGTGGTCCTTCACCACGCCGCCGCGGTGCTTCACCAGAGCCTCGGGTGGGCGGAGGTCCAGAGTTAAAATCTGTCAAAATGAACACTGAGTTTAATCGTCATGCTTCTCCTCATCGTCACCAATATCACGACGCTCCCATGCCTGGAGACACGAGGTGTCACACGTGACGGCCTTCCGTGCCCAATCGAACAGTCGCCACCCAGACGGCTGGGCTGGCACGGTGGCGAGACCTGCCGCAGGCAGCCGGATCAGTCCGTATTGGGATGGAGCTCGAAGGATGCGAGACACTCGGAGCGCGCCGCTTCAAAAAGGGTGGCCGTGGGCCCACGAATGCCCCTGAGCAGGGGCAGGGGAAGCCGAGGACTCTGCTGAGGATGGCGAGCACCGAAGGGATGCCAGATGCCCTCGCTGTAAGGGCCAATCCTGAACGCCAGCTTCAGGGAGACGTAAGGCTCGGGCAGAGGGGACTAAGGTCGGCCTGACGGGGGCCACCATAAAAATGACGAGACCCGATCTGAAATCTGACGCGGGCTCCCGCTGCAGACGCCCCTCGAAAACTAGACCGTCAAACTCCAGGACGCACTCGGCCAAAAACTTCGGCAACCCCGAGTTCCGGCTTACTCGAGTCTTACGCTTCCCCGTCTGTAGACCACACCGTATAGACCACAACGCCCACATCACGCCGTCGGCGGGCGCGACCGCTGGCCCGGGATGCGGCGCACACCGATCCGTCTGCTGGGCGCCAGAGAGTTCAAAATCGGTCGTCATCGGATCGGTAAGTCGCACCGGGTCAGAGCGTGCGAGGTGGGGATTCAACCATATCCACCGCCTGGGAACCGACATCCTGGTGCCCCAGCGGGCGGTGGATGTGGATATATTTCGGCCCCCGGGGGCCCGAGCATGTCCATCTCCACCGCCTGCCGAGGCTCCGAGAACTGAGCCTCCAGGCGGTGGTCATGTATAAATTCCCGCCTCGGAGGTAAATCGCACCGGGTCAGAGCGTGCGTCGGATCCGGCCGCACCGGCACAGAGTCGAAACCCACTCGTATCGGCCGCGCCATGACGCACAGCAGCGCCATGCAAGCATAGGGCCGCATCGGATCGTCGAAATCCAGACATCCGATGATCTTACCGTTTCAATAACCCCGAACCCACGATAATAATGTACCCCCCCTTAAGTCGTTAGAGTTTTTTATCGTCGACCAATAAGAGTTTGGTCGGGGGCGCGGGGGCGCGGAGGCCGAACTTCATTATCACGGGAAATGTTCGCCATCGAGGTTACTTCCTTCTTATGTTGAGATAACAACACCAAGCGAAGCGAACGCGTTGTTTCAGGATGTCTCAAGCGAAACCAATGTCCTTCTGTCTATTTGTAGTTCGTTATGTCTCTCTTTCTTTCTTTCTCTGTCTCTCTCTCTCTCTGTCTCTCTATCTCTTTCTCCTTCCTGGCCTCTCTGTCTCTCTCTCTCTGTCTCTCTATCTCTTTCTCCTCCTCCTCCTCCCCCTGGCGCCCTGAACTTGTTTATCGCTGGGGTTGATTATCCTGGGATGCAAATTATAATTTTCATCAAGCGTTTACACATTAAATCTAATAAGTTTTAATTTTTGGATTTTTGATATCTCCTTCTCCTCTCCTCTCTTGCTCTTTCTCCTCCTCCTCCCTCAAGGATGTCTCCAGCGAAATAAGCAATATTTTGAAGATGTCTCTAGCGAAACAGACAAATGTTTCGAGGATGTCTCAAGCGAAACAAGCAATTCGCTGAGGATGTCTCAACCGAGACAACCCTCAAGATATATTTGGCTTTTTCCTCTTGATATCTCTTTATGCTGGCTCTGGCGGGCAACTTTATTATCTCCCCGAAAACCCCGAACTTTACTATCCCTGGGGGTTTATTCTCGTGGGTTCAAAGTTACTGTCTGAGTCCCCGCAAATCCCGACCCTTTCACCAAGACTGGATCTTCGTCCCGAGTAGTTCCTTAAACGGTCCTGGAGACCGGTGAGGGCCCCCGGAGACCAATAACGGCCCAAAGCCGCCCGTCGTTGTTGTTCCACGGGTGTGGACAAATCTTGGGCGCCCGAATTATCTGGGGTAACTCGGGTCCGGGGTAACTCGGGTTTGGATTCCCGAAAAACGAACCCGAGTTAGCCCTGACCCGAATTACCCCTGATGAATTGGGGCTCTGGGCGCCCGAGTTATCCGGGGTAACTCGGGCCCGGGGTAACTCGGGTTCGGAATCCCGAAAAACGAACCCGAGTTAGCCCTGACCCGAGTTACCCCTGATGATTCGGGGCTCTGAAAATCTGCGAATATATGAATCGAATCGGAGTCAGCCGGCCAAAATGGACATCTGACCGCGACGGTGGAGCCGAAATGGGCTCCTGGGGGGGCAGGCGCCGGCGTGGGGCTCGATCGCGGGCTCGAGGCGTGCACACTTGGCCGTCTGGTGGGCCAAGGACCAGGGAACTACCGCGCGAACAGAGAAAGCGACCGGGAGGGAAGGACACCATGAAACATTGCCTCCTGCAGTCATCGTGCTGCCGTCAAAGACGCACAACGAGGACCGACTGGGCTTTCTGATCACGGCGAGACTCAGCCGTGAAGACTAAAATCTGAGGACCGGCCCGAACACCGGAGCCCCTCCCGAGTTTTCCTTCCAGCAGCCGGACCGTACCAGTGGGACAGGTCCTGGAAAAGGACAGCGAAGGAATATCTCAGTGACGACGACGTCGATGAGCAGGCCTGGACCCTGGACCAACTCCTTGCCCACCGTTCGGGGTTGGGGCCGATAGTGACACGCGCTCGAGCGGCCAAAGATTACCAGAGCCGCGTCTCTCGACACCGCGCGCATCAGCACAGGCCACAGAAGCCGAACCACCGCGGGGAAAGAGCAGCACAACGTTCGCCTCCGGGAGCGCTGCTTTCCCCCCATGGAAAGGAGGACGGGGCGGGGGGCTCCGGAGGTCTCCAGAGGGGAGGAGGAGGGAGGAGTAGAGAGGAGGAGCAGGGAAGCAAAGAGGAGGAGGGGGAGGAGGAGGGGGGGGGGCCTCCTCCCTCTCCGATGCCAGGGCCCGCGTTGCGAGGGCCCCCCCCTGGCTGCGCTGAGCCCCATGGCCTGGCCGGTGGGAAGACGTGGTGGTGGGCCGCGAGCCAGGTTGCGCCCAGGGGGGCGGCCCGAGAACGGCGCCCCGGGCGTGGCCAGCCAGTCGACCAGCCATCCCCGCTGTCGTTGCCCTCTTCAATTCCTGTCCTCCTCCTCCTCCTCCTCCTCCTCCTCCTCGTCCCCGCTGTCGTTGCCCTCTTCCTGTCCTCCTCCTCCTCCTCCTCCTCCTCCTCCTCCTGCTCCTCCTCCTGCTGCCCCTCCTCGTCCCCAGATGTATTCAACCTGCAACTGTTGCTGGATTTCGGCCCTCGGTGGCCGTTTTCAGCCTCTGAGGCCGCGGGCTGAAACCTCGCATCAACGGCTGCTAGATTTTCTGTGGGCCGGCTTTTCATCCTGAGTGGTTTCTTGACGGTCCTTGGGTCCGTTGACGGCCATGGAGGCCGAAATCGGAAAAAAAGCAGGCCGCTCTAATTCTTGTCTGATCCTCAGATCTCCTGGGCCAGTGTGGAACATGCGGGCAATACTTATATCCATATCCAGAGCGTCGTGGACTTTTCGGGAAGAGGTGCCGCAACGCCGAGGCGCACCGGATATGGATAAAATCAAGCCTGCGAGCCAGATCTTTATCCATATCCAGTGCGTCTGCGGCTTCTGGGGAAGAGAGCCCAAGAATCCAAGACGCACTGGATGTGGATATAACTATTGCCCGCAGAACAATGCACATACGGCAGGTCCGTGCCGTGTCGACCCTGGCGTTGCTTTCTGACACCGCGCTGGATCGTTCAACCTTGAACGATCGGCCGTCTCCGCAACGTCCGATCGTTCAACATCGACCGATTCTGGGCCGCCGTCGGCGTTCAACGTTGAACGTCGGCGGCGGGGTCGCCGCCTGTCGACACGACGCGAACCTACCGTAAGAAGAATAACCTTTCGGAGGTCCGCGCGGATTTCCCCCCCCCCCCCCTGGGGCGCGGAGCGCGCCGGGGGCGGCGTGGAAGGCGCCGCCAGGGGGGGGCCCAACGCCGATGCAGGAACTCCGCACGGACCTCCAAGAGTTCCCGGCTGTGCAGACTTCAGTTTGTCGATCGTCGATCCTCGTCGTCCTCGTCGTCGTCTTCCTGGGCCTCCTCCTCCTCCTCCTCCTGGGCCTTCTGTTCTCCGATCATTGTCGTCCTCGTCGTCGTCGTCCCCCTGGGCCTCCTCCTCCGCCTCCACCTGGGCCGAGCGGGCGCTGCGAGCCGCGAGGCGCCGATGTCCCCGGGGAGGGTCCAACGTTTGCCCCCGCGTCTACGACTGCCCTCTAGCTTGGCATCCGCCAGCGTGATTTGTTCCGTCCGCGGTCCCGAGAGGTCGCGACCGCTTCCCGGGGACCAGACATCGGGCGCTCCAACATTTTCGGTGCGTGGAACCCCTGAGGTCTGGACAACTTCCCCGAGCCCGGTCTTTCGTCCAGAATTTGTTTGACAGTCCTGGGGTCCTTTGAGAGCATATGGGATCCGAAAGCAGCTCCACCACGGCCGCTCCAATTTTCTCGGAGCATCGGCTCTCTGGGAGCGCCCGAGAAGCGGCCCCCGAGCACGGGACTCCACAAGAAAACGGGCCGGCCGCGGCCGCTGGGCCTTCAGCCTGCGCTGCTGGTTGGCGAGGATGGCGTCCTGGGTGCGCGGGCGCGGTGCCAGGGCCGCGACGGCGCGGGGCCCCCCCGCAAGACGAGGCTGGGATGATGTTCCCCAACAGCAATCGAGCACCCAGCACAGCATCAAAGCAGTGCCCGCCCGAAGCGCCGGCGAAGTGTCGAACGGGTATGGCCTCCCAGAGCCAGGCGCGTGAAAACTGCCCCGCGAGTGTTGCCCTGCAGGGCCCTTTGATGTCGGCGCCTTCTTGGTGCTCGATTCCTTGCTGCTGATCAAGGTGCGGCCGCTCTAGAGCGATCCAGTGGAACGCCCTGACCCTGAGATCCGACGCTGCGACAAAAAGCAACGTCGCGAACAAACAATGGCGGGAACCCGTGGACACCAGCCTGCTGCGACTTTTCCCCAGTCGCATCGGCCTATGATGGAAGGGAGTAGTACGGGGACCGTCACCACGACTGAACGTGAAAGCGTCGTGTCGGTCTTGGTCGCCGTCAGTAGTCAGCATCATTTGGTGGAACATCCTCGCGGATTGTCGACGGCCAACGTGGACCATGACAAAGATCGGCATCGGCACGACCCCGCAACATCTTCCCCTGCTTCTTCCCTCGAATAGACCCTGAGCCCGAAACTGGGCGAACACGCCAACTGTGAAACTATCCTGGCAATGGTCCCAACCATACACAATTGTGAAAACCACCGTTGTAAGTACCGTCTTCGGTGGAACTCCTGATGGGGCCACGAACCGTGAGAGGGGTGTGCCAAAACGAGGCCGCGCCGCCATTCGAATCCTGCCACCGAGGCCTGCGGTAAAGCTCCCCACGTGGCCACGAAACGTGAGCGGGGGTGACGCGGGGCGCTGTCCCTCCAGAACGAAGACCCAGCACCACAGGACCACAGGATAGGTGGGACATGCTGCACTGCCTGGGCCTCAGAGAATTGGGCGGCGCGGCCGCCCTGGCACGCTCCGAACTCCGGCACGCGCTGGAACCGTGCACCCCGGTCGTCGACCCCCGCCCGGTCCCGCCCGCGCGGAGCGGAGCCCCGGGCGCCCGTCTGCCAGCCACGGAGCCTCCGGTGGAGCCCCCATTATGGGGCTACGGCACGTGTGAGGTGTCCGCCGAAGGGGACCCGAGTGCGCATGCGGACCCTGCCGCTGGAGCCTGCGGAGGAACTGTCCATGGGGCCACGAGCCGTGTGAGCGGTGTGCCCAAATGGACCCGTGTACGCCTGCGGACCCTGCCACCGGAGCGCCCCCTATGGGGCCACGGAACGTGTGAGGGATGTGCCCAAATGGACCCGAGTACGCATGCGGACCCTGCCACTTGAGCCTGTGGTGGAGCACCGTATGGGGCCACGAAACGTGTAAGAGGTGTACCCAGATGGACCCGATTACGCATGCGGACCCTGCAAATGGAGCCTTCGATGGAGACCCCTATGGGGCTACGAAACGTTTGAGGGGTGTGCCCAGATGGACCAGAGTGCACATGCGGACCTTGCAACTGGAGCCTTCGGTGGAGCTCCCTATGGGGCCAAGAAACGTGGAGTGACGTGTGGGGCAACAACGACGATGACTAATGTGATGGTGGTGATTGTGATGATGATGCTGCTGCTGATGATAATGATGATGATGATGACGACATTAATTGGGAGGCATAGGAGCGGAGAGAAGAGGAGGAGAGGAGGAGACAAGCGGCGCTGCGAATTTAAAACGAGGACCCAACACACAGGAGGGTTTGGAAAAACACCTGTTACTCAAAGTAACCTCGAAATCCGCAAAGACCTCCTCACCGCACGGTCCGTCATCGCACGTCTTTGGGACCCTGGGGGCCCAAGTCGCCCAAGACGTCAGCGGAGATCGACCTGAGTTCTAAAACTGCGCGGCGACTCACCACGCGGTGTGGTCACCACACTGCGTGGGAACTCCTGCAATCATATCGTCGGAGATCTGGACTGTGTGCGCCCCCCCCGCAGCCGTCCCCGGAGGGCTGTCCGTCGAAAACTTGCAACAACGAGCAATCCGGACGGGAATCCTACAGACCCGTCCTGTTGGCCCGATCCATCAGTGATGGACCCAGGTCACGAAACGGGGCGAATACGCCCGTTGTGAAAAAAATGCCTCGCCTGGATCTCGCCAAGAGATCTGGACCAAAAGGCACCAGGGCCCGATCTTCTGCATGGGTAACTTTTGTACCGGTCCCTGGACCCGTTGAGGGCCCCCAGAAGCTGAAAATGACCGCACACCGGCCGATCCGATCTCTTCGGAGCCTCGGATCCCTGGGAACGCAAGGGTCTCAGGGGTCGTGCGAGATCTGGGCTGCGTGCGCCACCCAGGCCAGCCTCGAGGAGGGGCCACGTCTAAACGGGAAGACATCCGCACGGGGACCGACCACACCCCAAGGATCGGGGATGGACAGACCTCCCTCTAGGAAAATGACGGCCGCGGCGCCCTCTCGAGAACCGAAACCGCACAATTCACTGATCGACGTGTCAGGGTAGGAGGTCTGTCCACCCCCGAAAGGACGTCCTCCGTACGGCACAGGCCTCCTCCGAGACCTCCGGAGGGCAGGCGTGCCCGGCCCGGCCCGCGGCCCGCCCAGCACGGCCGGCCGCGTCGCGGCAGAAGGAGGCCCACGGCCGCAGGGCTGCGGCGAGGGCGCGGAGTACAGGGGGCCCAAGGAGCCCAGGGTCCGAACACCGTTGGAGCCCCAATCTTGAGGCCTGGCCATGGGCATCGCCGCCTCTCTCATCCGATGGGAGAATGCCCCAGGGTCTGAAGCCAACGGCCCCCGCCGTAGGGGGGGCGGCTGGCCGTCCTGGAGGTCCGCAAAGTCCATCTGCCCGCTGCTGGCGAGGGGCGGGGGGGGCGGCGATGCACCGCCAGAGACGTCCAAGAGGCGGCATAAGACAGCCTCAGCGACGCACGTGCGAGCTTCCCGCGCAGGCGAGAGAGTCCAACGCTGACACAAGAAATCTGCACAGACCTCCGACGAATTATGTGTACGCCGATGTTCGTCCTCGACGGACGGAGGACCAGGGAGAACGAGGAGTATGAGTTTGAGTCAAGTTAACTAATTAGGTCCAGCGAGTCCGAGGGCCCCGTCTTTTCCCATCCTCCTTCCCACAGCATGAGGACCAATTGTGGCAAAACGTACTGGCGGGGTTGAAACTAGATCCCACCTCGCAAACGTGAAGCGCTCGCACCGCTTCCGACGACTTGGCGCAGGGAAAAATATACGTGGGACCTGGAAGGGCGGGAGCGGCAGAACTGTTGGTGGACGCGGCGACAACGAAGCATGCCCGCGCTGACACAACACTGCCACTTTCACCCACGAGCTGCGCGGCACTCCCGCGAGGTCGGCCTTGCTCCCGCTGCCGCGCAGCCCCGCTGTCAGTGCCATGCTCATCCGATTCGGCGAACGTCGGCGATCTTCTGACCTGGGTCAATCCAGACCCGGGTCAGCAGGAAACTGAAAACAGAATGCAGGAACGGAAAAACTGCAACGCAAGTCTTCGCAAAACCCGGGTCAGCCAGTTGGGGCGGCCGCCTCGCGGCCACGAGCGGCTCGCTAACCAGGTTAGCGACCCAGGATCCTGCAGGATCCGACAGGATCCTGCAGGATCCTGCGGGATCCGGCGCAGGGTCAGCCAGAGGGGGTCTTCGCAGGATCGGGCAGGATCCGGCGCTCTGGCTGACCCCCGTCTGCACAGACCCCCCCCTCCAGGCTCCCGAGAGACGAGCCATCCGCCCAGCGGGCGGAGGAGCGCCACCTCCCAGGGGCCACGCGCACGGAGCCTGGGCGAGGGCGGCGCGTCGCTCGTTCGTGCAGGGCCCAGGAGCAGTGGCGAGTGGGAAAGGTGCGCCGCGCCCCGGCGGCGGTGCGCAACCCAAGCGGTGTTCTACTGTTCTGTGTCGTTCTGGTCCTGGGCATGGCTCGTTTTTCTGTTCCGTTCTGTTTCCGTCCTGGTGTTCCGAACGTTCCCGAACAACGGTCGGGCCAGAAAAGAAGAACATACCCAACACATTGCACTGGGAACATAACAACAACCATAACACCGATGTATTTCTCATGCGCAAATAAACGCGCAACACGCAAGGCTAGCCCGACAGGAACAACATGCGGAACAAAACGCATGCCGTTCCAAAACCCAAATCTCTTTGGATCACGAAGACGAAACAACACAATCACGCAACACGGAAAACAGAGGAAAAGAGCACGGAACGGATAGAAGGCAACACGGAACGGAAGGAAAGCAACCAGGGACGGGAGGAAGGCAACGCGGAACGATGATAAAATTGAGCAACACAACAATAATAACATAGAAAAACACGTGGGCAACACCGTTCCGTTCCGTTGTACCCTCCCTACGACCCGCGTTGCACTCCCTCTGTTCAAATGTGCCCTTTCTCCATGCCGTCATACCCTCCTTCCATTCCATGTTACCCTCCTTGCGTTGCGTTTGCCCCTCCTGACGTCCCGTTTTACCCTCCCGACGTCCCGTGTTACCCCCCCTACGTCTCGCATTGCCCTCCCTCTATTCAAATGTGCCCTTTCTAAATGCCGTGATGCCCTCTTTCCATTTCAGATTGCCCCTCCTGACGTCCCGTTGTACCCTCCCGACGTCCCGTTTGACCCTCCCTACGTCCCGTGTTACCCTCCCTACGTCCCGTTTCACCCTCCCTACGTCCCGTTGTACCCTCCCGACGTCCCGTTTTACCCTCCCGACGTCACATTTTGCCCTCCCGACGTCTCAATTTACCCTGCGTGCCCTCCCGACGTCTCGTTTTACCCTCCAAACGTCCCGTGTTGTGTCACCCTTCCGACGTAACGTTTTACCCTCCCGTCGACCCGTTTTACCCTCTCGACGTCCCGTTCTATCCTCCCGACGTACCGTTTTACCCTTCCCTACCCTCCCTGCGTCCCGTTTTACCCTCCCGACGTCCAATTTGACCCTCCCTGCATCCCGTTTTACCCTCCCGACGTCCCGTTTTACCCTCCCAACGTCCCGTTCTACCCTCCCGACGTCCCGCCTTACCTTTCCGACGTCCCGTGTTACCCTTCCTGCGTCCCGGTTTACCCTCAGGACGTTTTGTTTTACCCTCCCCACGCGCAAAAATATCCTTCCTTAATCTCCCTGCGTCCAATTTTACTGTCTCTGCGTCACGTTTTACCATCCCGACGTCTCGCTCTGCGTCACGTTTTACTCCTCTGCTTCTCGTTTCACCCTCCCTACGTCCCCTTTTACCCTTCCTTACCCTCCCTACGTCCCGTGTTACTCTCCCGACGTCCCGTTTTACCCTCCCGCCGTCCTGCTCACCCTCGCGACATTCCTATTTTTCCTCCCTGCGTCCTGTTTTACCCTTCCTGTTTTACCCTTCCTGTTTTACCCTTCCTTACCCTCCCGACGTACCATTTGAACCTCCCGACGTCCTGGTCTACCCTCCCGACGTCCCGACGTCCCGTTTCACCCTCCCGACGTTCCGTTTTACCCTCCCTACGTCCCGTTTTACTCTCCCTACGGCCCGTTTTACCCTCCCTACGTTCAATTGTACTCTCCCTTCGTCCCAATATACTCTTCCTTACTCTCCCGACGTCCCGTTTTACCCTCCCGACGACCCGTTTTACCCGCCTTGCGTCCCGTTCTGCCCTCCCGACGTACCGCTGTACCCTCCCTACGTCCTTCCTTACCCTCCCGACGTCAAATTGTTCCCTCACGACGTCTCGTTTTCCGCTCCCGTCGTCCTGCTTTACCCTTCCTGCGTCCCGTTTTACCCTCCCTGCGTCCCTGTTTACCCTCCTGACGTCTCTGTTGACCCTCCCGACGTCCCGTTTTACCCTCCATGCGTCCCATATTACCCTCCCTACGTGTTCTACCCTTCCTTACCCTCCCTACCTTCCGTTTTACTCTCTACGCTCTGTTTTACCTTTCCTACGTGCCGTTCTACCCTCCCGACGTCCCGGTTTACCGTCCCGACTTTACCTTCCCTGCGCTCCGTTTACCCTCCCGACGTCCTGTTTTACCCTTCCTTAGCCTCCCGACGTTCCGTTCTACTCTCCCGACGTCTCGGTTTACCCTCCCCGACGTCCCGTTTTACCCTCCCGACGTCACGGTTTACCCTCCCGACGTCACGGCTTACCCTCCCGACGTCCTGTTTTACCATCCCTGCGTCCCGTTTTACCCTCCCGACGCTCTGTTTTACCCTTCCTTGCCCTCCTTGCGCTCCGCTTTACCCTCCCGACGTTCCGTTTTACCCTCCCGACGTCCCGTATTACCCTCCCGACGTCTCGCTTTACCCTCCCGCGTCCCGTTTTACCATCCCGACGTCCCGTGTTACCCTTCCTTACCCTCCCGACGTCCCGTTTTACCCTCCCTGCGTCCCTCCTGACGTCCCGTTTTACCTCCCAACGTCCCGTTTTACCCTCCCGACGTCCCGTTTTACCCTCCCGACGTTCCGTTGTACCCTCCCCACGTCCGGCTCTCTGCAGTGCCATGCAGCGTGGTGCCGTCTGATGCTATCTTTGCGCGTGGCAACCACGGTTGACGCGGTCGACTGGTGCAGTGCCGCTTGGTAGCATGTGTTTTCTGTGCGGATGTCGCGAGGTCCGTTTTTCCCATCCATCCTGTGGTGTTGGGTCCTCGTTTTGAAGAGACGGTCCCCGCGTTCCTCCTCTCTCCTCCTCTCTCCTCCTCCTCCTCCTCCTCCCCCTCCCCCCTCCTCCCGTCACCCACCCTATTTTTGCACACCCCTCACACGTTTCGTGGCCTCATAGGGAACTACACCGAAGACCCCCGTGGCTGCGTTCGCATGACACCACCGCACCCATCCCTTGGCCCCGAAGGGAGCTACACCGAGGGCGCCATTGGCTGCGCTCGCATGACACCACCGCACACACATGTCGGCACGCCCCTCACACGTCTCGTGGCCCCAAAGAGAGTTCCACCGAAGGCCCCAGTAGCTGCGCTGGCATTCCACCGAAGGCCCCAGTGGCTGCGCTGGCATGACACCACCGCGCCCACGTTGGCACACCCGTGACACGTTTCGTGGCCCCATGGGGAGCTCCACCGCGGCCCCAGTGGCGGCGCTCGCATGACACCACCGCGCCCATGTTGGCACACCCTCACACGTTTCGTGGCCCCATGGGGAGCTCCGCCGCAGGCCCCAGTGGCTGCATTCGTACGACAGCACCGCACCCATTTCGGCACACCCCTCACACGCTTCGTGGCCCCATGGGGAGCTCCCCTCCCGACGTCCCGTTTTACTGTCCCTACGTTCCATTTTACCCTTCCGACGCCGACGTCCCGTTTTAACCTCCCGACGTCCCGTTTTACACTCCCTGCGTCTCGTTTTACCCTTCCTTGCCCTCCTGACGTCCTGCTTTACCCTCCCGACGTCCCGTTTTACCCTCCCGACGTCCCGTTTTACCCTCCCGACGACCCGTTTTACCCTCCCGACGCCCCGTTCTACCCTCCGGTACGTATGGTAAAGCGGGACGTAGGGAGGGTAAAACTGTATGTAGGAAGGTTAAACAACGTGACGTAAGGAGGGCAAAACGGGACGTAAGGCCGGAAAGGAGACCGGGACGGAAGGAAGGGTAAAACGGAACGTAGGGAGGGTAAAACGGAACGCAAGGAAGACAAAACGAAACGTAGGGTGGCCAAAACGGGACGGAAGGAAGGTAAAACGGGACGCACGGTGGGTAGAACGCGGAAGGAGGTGACGCGGGACGGAGGGAGGGCAAAACGGAACGGAAGGGAGGCTAACACGAGGGAGCGACGGTAAAACGAAACGCCAGACAGGGAAAAACGAACTGGGAAGGGATAGGGCGAATCATAGCGAGTTGAAA